CGTGCTTGTATTCATGGAGTCTGGGAACCAGTGATGGAACATTTATGTATGCTAGTAAAATGACTCATAATAAACTATTTTAAAATATGTAATTAATAAAAGAAAGTGGAGATTTATTCAGTGAGATCCGTGTGGTTGGTGCTGCTCTTTGAGATATTTTATATTCAGCTCCATCAATATTTTATTAATATTTAAAATTAATATTATTATTTATCATTAATATATTAAATTAATTTATATAATAAATTATAATCTTTATATTATATAATTTTCCTTTATATATATATATATATATATATATATATATATATGTATGTGAAAATATAGAAAATAGGAAAGAACTGGTTAGGTAAATAATCCAAGGTTCCTTAGTATTTTGTTATTATTTTTAAAAAATAGTGCTTTATACAAAAGTAGAGCATAAATATAATTATTTATTTAAATCATATCTTTAAATTAATAATTATATATTAGAGTTTAACTGTAATGGAGAAAAAAAAACACTTTCATGGCAGAAATGTATAAGTATTCAGGGTTCTTATTTTGATTGATTGAAACATTGTTTAAATACATTCATAAGTTGATCCTAAATCAGATGTTATTTTCTGAAGAACCAAATATATTAAAAAGTATTAAAAAAAAAAATAAATAAAAAAAAACTCAAGACAAAATATTGATTAAAACAGAAAAAATAATTTATTTCAATGAAGACAAAGGAGAATGATATGTTAAACAAAACAAAGCCTCAATATGAGGTTTTTTGTGAGTTAAATTGATCTGAGTGGACAACTGAATGGAACATTGGGTATTTAACCAGTGTAGAAGTGGCACCAATACACACAGACATTATATATATATATATATATATATATATATATATATATATATATTCCTTACCATTTATGGAATTATTGAAACAGCAAAGAGATTGGAACAAACTGGACGGAATTATAAAGGTCAAGAGAGCCAGAATTTTAATTCTGATAATTTTTAAAACCCTTTGTAAATAAATTTGTTTTATTTTAACCCTAGAACACTAACCATGGGTATATAGTACCCAGTACAAATTTTCCTATTTTTAATTACAATTTTCAGTACCTGATTTTCTTACCTAAATAATGTTTTTCAGTTCCTATTAATGTTAGCTCAAAGTACAACGTTTGAAGTGCCTGCATGTAAAATATTTCAAATAAAGTTTTATATTTAATACTTTTTTTGATATTTTCAAAATTGGGTATGATATACCCATAGTTAGTAGTAGTGTAACTTTAATTGATGGTTAGTGTTCTAGGTTTAAAAGAAATAAAATTTGTAATCAAAGAATTAATTACACATTTAGTCTTCCAGTCGAAGACTAAACAAATTCTTTATTGACCTGAAACCAATTTTGCTGTGAAGATCCAAGATCAGAGAAACACCAAGTTTGGCATCATTGATTGGCAGTGAAATATTTTCTTCACAGTGGACTAATGATTAGCCATCTATTGTAGCAGATCATTACTACTGTGCAGTGACTTTGAACCTCACTAGGTGGTCTCACATTGGTGACTGTGCCAAACTACAATCAGATTAGTAAACATTAATGAGAATTTAAATTTCAAATCTAGTAAATAAATCTGAACTTTATCCCCCCTTTTATACACATCTCCTTGCTGTAGATTTTAACAAGAGGGCATATCACAGACACCAACAAGATGCTGGGTATGCCTATCACAGACAAGGGGGTCAAGTTCAAGTAAATTTAATGACTTATTAAGTAGATTAATGATTTATGCAATTAGTACAAATTAAACTAATCAACGGCAAGGAAGTTTTTGACTGCTTCAAGTAAAAAAAAAAAAAAAAAAAAGAGGACACCAGAAAAAAAGAACATTAAATCTAAAATCAGAAATAGTAAAAAGTAATAAAAAAAATCAAAATAATTCAAGTTAAAAGCAGTGGAATTTTTTGCTTTTATTATCTCAGAAGTAATACTCATCTTTTAATTTCAAATTTGAATTGAAAAGTGAAAAATTTTGGCAGATTTATTGAATAATTTATATAAACCCAATTACAGTTAAAAAGGAAAATATTAAAACCTTTGTTCATTTTGCAGTCAATACCAGAAAGGATTTTAAAAACAAAAAAACACCAAATATTTGTTCCATTCAGTTATTTTTTTTTTCTTTCTTATTTTTACTGACATGGGAAGATGACACCAAAGCTTGACTCAAAGACACAGGAATGGAAAAAAAATGGAAATCTGTAGACTGCCAGCAGTCACAGAGCCAAATAAACAGAGTGGACAAAAAATACAATGACAATGAAATTTGCAACAGGCTTAAGAAAAATAAAATAATAAAAAAAAATATGTTAACTTTTACAGTAGAAAAAAAATCCTTTATCGTCTTCATTAGAGTTTCCATCTTTTATTTTAATAAATATATCCAAATTTGGAGGGTAAAATTCTAAAAATAAATATACAAAATTATGCTCATGCACACATATATATATATATATATATATATATATATATATATATATATATATATATATATAGTGTGTGTAGCAAAATATACATTATATATATATATATATAATTATTTTATATGGCCTAAAATATACAATATGTATCTATGTATGAAGAAGGGTCTATATATATATATATATATATATATATATATATATATATAGATATGTGTGTGTGTGTGCATATAAAAAAATTATTTTGATTTTTTGTGAATAGCCAGCCTTTGAAGTTATTTGTTGTCTATTTACAATTTTCAAGTAGTGTCGAAAATATTTAGAAATTATAATTTATTTTCTTTTAACTTTTTGAAGATTAATTTAAGAAATGTTTTTGATTTTTCCATATTTACTGAAGGCAAAGAATTACAGAAACTTCTTTTGCTAATGAAAGGTGAAATAAATGCTGTTTTAACTGCAGAAACTAACATTTTTAGAATCTTAAACAAGTTTCTCAATCTCCTTTGATAAAAATATGATAAGGATTAAAAAAACAATTAAAATAATAAAAAAAACAGCAAAAGCTCTTTTTAACAAGCAAAAGGCATTTAAAAAACTTGTAACAAATACTATTAAGTGTGACTTTTACATTTAATGAAATTAGTTTCATTGAAATAAAAAAAAAAACGAGTTTTAAAAAATTACAGTCAATTGTAATAAAATATTAGGGATTTTTGTTTTTGTTTTTTTAAAAAAATAAAATTTTATGAAAAAATAAAATTTTGAATTAGAAATTATTTTCTAAATTTATCAGGTATTAATCATTTTGATTTTGATTTTTTTTAATTCTGTAGAATACATTTTAGGGATTCAGCCTTTATTTCTGTTAAGGCAGAAAATATATTTCCTCGATCCATTTGTTAGGGGCAGGGGGCAACCTTCAAGAATGGACCCAACCAAATATTTTCATTAATATTATTTATCAATATACAACTGAGAAAAATACTTGCAAAATCCCAGTTATCACAAATGCATGGTTGTTGAGGTTTTTTTTTTTTTAATGCATGCCATAAACTCAGCAGAAAAGAAGCCTCTTTAACTGCATTGGTAATTCATAGCAGCTGAGACTAATCTCAAAAGTAAGAAAAATGTCTAAGACCATCTTCCATGTTTGGAGGCTTTCAAACTATAAATTCAATATTTTTCAAAACTTAAGGAATTTTAGTAATATGAAAGAAGGTTATCTTCATCAAAGAATGGTGGGATGTTGGTTGAATATGAAATATTGGTATTATATTCTTGTTCCTGACCAAAATATTGCTGGACATTATTGCCAAATGTATCAAAAGCTGTTTTAATTTTCTTTGATTGCTGAGGCAAACCATAATCAAATAAGGAATTCATTTCTGAAGAATAAGTAGTAGAAGTCATGGACTGCTTATTATCAACAGTGCTATTTTGGTAACTGGGAATCTTAATTGGCAGACTGGTATCACGAATTTCATTTGATTCTTTTGATTTCTGTTGACTTGGACGACTCTGAGATTTGAAAAGTTCATCGAAATTAAAAACATAAGTTGCTTTTTTGCCATGGATTTTCTGGACATAATTTTTATCATAATAATAACGGATGGCACGTGAAAGTTTTTCATAAGTCATGTGCTTACGTCGTTTGCGTTCACCCCACCGCTTAGCAAGTTCCTTCTGGTTGACAATGGTGAAATGTCCTTTCGTTCCTTCCCATCGAATACAATTCTCATTGGCAGGTTCACACAAAAGCTTGATTAAGAACTGCCACAGTTGAATGTGCCCAGATTCTGAAAGAAAATAGAAAATTCAACTCAATAAAATGTTTTCAAGAAATAAAAATAAAATAAAAAAATAAGGGGAAGAAAAGCAAAAAAAAAATATTTACCTTAAAATGGTAACTCAAAAATTATAAAATTAAAATATAGATAAATAATTTATCATTCCTTGCTCTTTAGAGTTTGTTTGAAGAGAGAAAATATAAAATTGTTCACAATGACTAAAACTAAAATCAGGGCTATAAGTGACGAAAACAAATATAAAAAAAATTTGATATTCAAAAATCAAATTTTTTTTTTTATGCTTAAACAATTTACTTAAAATATATATTTTGCATATTACTATTTTTCTTTTTACAAAATCTTGTATTTAATTCCAAGTAGAAACTGATACAAATGGGGAAAAGAACTGACATTATGGCTACTCATGTCATTTTCTGACTAATATGTTTGAGACCATCTGTATGCAGAATTCTTGTTATCTTGACTATAATACTATGATAAAAAGATAGAAAAATGTAAGGGAAATACTGCTCTTCCCATAATTATCTCCTTTGGTATTGCCAGTTATGACAGCTAAAGCAATATGTCTTTCAACTTGGTTTAAGCATCTTCATTTTGTTTGTCTTTTTTAAACTCAATATCAAACTTTCTATTTAAGAAATTATTAAAAATAAATAAAATTATCTTATATATAAAAATGCTGCAGAAATGTAGAATTGAACAAGAACAAAAAGGCATTTTCCTTACCAGGAATATGGGCTTTGAGTTGTTGATATGACATTCCACAAATCATTCCAGAAGCTTCTCCTAAAATAAACAAACAAATCAAAACTGTTTAGCAAGTCAAGTTAATAAAGAATTAGATATTTAACAACATCTGATAATATCTGTCAAAGAAGTCAAAACATTATTAAGAATGGAAAGTATTTCAGATGAATTAAATTAATTTTAATTTGTCTTTTCTTATTTTTTAACTTAGATTTGATATAATTGTTTTAAATTATCCATTAAATTTGCAAAAATCTCTCTTGCTGAAATTATCTAAGTTTATGGATTTCATTAACTCAGTTTATTCAAAATTAATTATTCATCTCTCATTCCTGCCTTTTCACGTTCTCTCTCTTCAAAAGATTTCATCACTAAATGATCATTTCCTATACCACTCCAGTAAGTAGCTGACTCCTCATGCTATCCTCTACCTGTGTAAGAGCCAGACCAGGCCCGAAAATGGAGTACTGCCCAGACATCACTTTCTTGACTTGATAGAGTTCAAAAGTGTCTCAGAGTCCCACTGGGTGACAAATTATTTTCCACTCTCCAACCTCTCTCTCTCACAAGCAGGATGTGGCAAGCCTCTCACTGCTTTTCCATGGAAAGTGTTCAGATGAACTACATTCCTTGGTTCCACCAGGCCTAACCTTCATGGCGAGGACCATCAGGCCACTTACATTGTAGCCAAACACCCACATTCCCTCTGTATTCTATTACTGAGAAGTAAGTTCACTTGAACAGCTTCTTCCTACAAAACACTACTCTGTGGAATAGATTCCCAAAAAGATGTGTCCCACATCACTACAATCTTAAACTGTTCAAGTCTAGATTTAACTATTATCTCCCCCTCCTATCCATAAAAATTACCCCTTAACATAACCCTCTACCTCGAGTGGCCCCCAGGCCTTGTACAGAGTGAACCTTACTGTAAAAAAAAAAAAAAAAAAAAAAAACTGCTACAAGTGCCATACTGTATGGCAGTGTGTGAAAGCCAGTTTCAATAAAACGTTTTCTAAAGAAAAAGAAAAAAAAATTTCAAACTTAATAGAAATGATTTTTAACATTATTGCAACTGATTAATTTCATTTCGAATATCTATAATGTTTACTGTTTGCTGCTAATAATAAATATTAAAAAAAATATTTTGTACACAAACGTGACGTCACGCGGTATTTGGAAGTTACAAAAAGGTAGAGTAATTGCCGCGCCTACCCAAGGGACATAATTACGTAAAGCAAAAGTGCTGCACCCAGAGTGACGTCCCCTGTTTGCAGCGTTTTGCATTACCTTATATGGGCATTTTGATTTTTATGAATGAAGTCTTAGTTTCGGGTTTTCCCGCCTTGTAAGTTCACGCCTTTTACGCAAATTACTTCGACTGTGGGAAAACCGTGATGTCACCATCTTAAATATTTGATAAGATTCATTAATATATGAATTATTCAGAACAAGGCTTCAGTAACGTCAAAAGGAAATAAGATCATGTGACCATAAGTAACTGAGAGATTTTATAACGTATATAGCTTAAATCATAATTTTTGCATTGCTATTTATTTGAATTATATCCACCAGTGAAAAGTGACTTTTTAACCCACAAAATTTTATTTCTCTGCTATTAAATAAAATGAAATTGTAATAATAATTATTTAGGAATTTTCTTTTAATAAAAAAAATTATTTAATCATTAAAGTTGGCAAGTTAAAATAATGAAAATGATTATGTGTGTGGGTGAGGGTCACATAAGTCATCTTCAAGGAACATTCAATGAGACCATGTGGGAAGGAAATTACAATGAGTAAATAGAATTATGTATTAATTGTGTGTTTATATCAGGAGTGTAGGCAAGAGTCAATACCTGTTGTGGTGGTGGGGGTGGTGGTGGTTGGATTGGTGGTAGTGGTGGTGCTATTTTGTTGACAAAATGGTGATGGTGTACATCGGGAAGCTAAAAACAAAAACAAAAACATAACATCAAAAATTTTCCAACTTTTCATGCTCATATCCAACACAAAAATTAACATTTTTTTAATTTACTTTTAAAAGTTGTAATTACATTCTAATTATTTTTTTTAAGTAAAGAATACAAGAGATTTTGAACAACAACAATTTCTAAGAAAAATCATGATTCTAAAATTATCTTAATATGAATGCATCACTCTAAAATTTGAATTGTAAAAGTAAATGCAAGTTAATTATAATTTTTTTTTACTTTTTTTTATCATAAACAAAGTATAAAAAAAAAATCAAGTAAATCTTTTTATTTAAACACACTCACTAATAAATATTAATGAATTGTATTAACAGTGTTTATTGTTACCATTGGCAGATTTTACTTAAGAGTTTTAATTTACAGTGTCAAGATTAATATTTTCAAATTCATTGTAATTGGGTAACTACAAATATAAATTATAATTGGAATTTCAATAATTTATATAACAAAACACGTCTGATGAAGTTCTAAGGGACAAAACGTGTCACACAAAAACTTTTTTCACCAAAACTGTTTTTGATATATCAAATTTATATATTGTTATCCCATATATATATATATATATATTATATATATATATATATATATATTAACACAAAAGGAAAACTTATCTTAGCCAATGCATTTCATCCTCTTAAGGACTTTATCAAGGCAAGGCAAATTTTCCTTTTACAGAAATACTATCAGAAATTTTTACATATGTATATATACATGCATACAAACACACATTATATATATATATATATATATATATATATATATATATATATATATATATATATATATATATATATATTCTATTTCTGGGAAACTATGTCAAAGTGAAAAAGGTTTTCCTTTGACATGTTTCAGCCTTTTAAGATTTCATCAGAAATGTTTGGCTCAAAAACTTTCCACAATAACAGTTTGCTTTAAAATTGTTATGATACCTAAAAATGTATATAGTTTTTCCATATAAATAGTATCAGTATCATGGAGAAGCGGGTGCAGAGGGAGTGACAACCCCCCTCCACCACCACCACCACCAAGCATCTAATATCAGGAGGGCATTTAATGAAAGAGTGAAAGAAAAACTTAGTTTATATTTAATTTTAATAAAGTGTTTATTTCATGTTTCATCTGTTTTTACAGATTTAAAATGTCTTCCTTTCTCACTTTTCTCAGTATGAGGCCCAAAAGGCCCAAACCTATTTGAATCTTAAGGACATACTATCAAGAAGTTGAGCCCAAGCATCACCAAACTTCTGCAAGTGTGTGTGTAGATATATATATATATATATATATATGTATACATACATATAAATCTGTACATACATACACACACACACACACACACACACACACACACACACACACACACACACACACACACACACTTCTCTAATTCAGAGCAGAAAAACTAAGGAGCAGCACTTTGACCCAGAGTGCACAGATATTACACTGATCCTCAACAGTACCACTATTTTGTAAAGACAGGTATTATGCTACTAATGCAAATAGACAATACAATTCTTCAAGAAACTGAAAATATTAAAAGGAAAAATACTTACACGGATCAAAGAAATTTGGATTAGAAACTGGGGAAGCCGAATAGTTGTTATAAGCTGAAAAATTAAAAAAAAAAATTCACAATTTTATTGAACCTTAATTAAAAGTAAAAATGCCTCCTTAAATATCTAACATCATAAAAATATTTCATCGAAAATTTTTAAAGCTATTTTTATTTTGGTAAACTTATCAAAATTCTCTTCTTAAATGAAATGATGCAACAGATATGGAATTAAATACCAATAGAAAATAAAATCACATCAAGCAGACATACTAATTCATCATTCATACTATTTACAGTCTGACTAAATACTAAGTCATCGACAAAATTCAAATCCATTTTACATACTTGACTGAAAAAGTTAATTTATTATCTAAGAAAATAACTTTTACGTTTTTTTGAATTCACAATTTTTTCATTTGAATGGTAAAAAAAAATCTGTAAAATGCTTGAAAATTTTCTTTCACAAGAAAATTATTGAATGTGATTTCTTAATTTAAAATGAAAAAAAAAAAATCATTATTTATGACGTAACAAAATGAAAAATGAAGAAAGGAACACTTACAAGGAGCAAATGATCCTGTGGTGGAAGCAGGAGAAGAATTACTGCTTCTTGGAGCTGAAAACAGACAAAAAAAAAAAAAAGTTGTTTAAATACATAGGTTATAAGTTGTTTAAAACAGAGATATTGACTGGTTTACAAGACAGATTTAGTCTTTTATCAAAAATCAGTTTAGATATCCAGATTCCAAAATAACAAAACTAGAAGCCATTTTGATCAAGTTGTGTGTATTAACCAAAACTGGTTTATAAAATTTTCTTAAGTTCAACAAAGGTTTGGATATTTTTTTTTATTATTTCCTTATTTTTTTAAAATTTATTTATTTTACTATTGGGTTTAAAAAAAAAAAAATCATACAAATAGATAACCAATATATTTTCTAGTCTAAAAATATTTTTATATGAAGCGACTGACAGGGAAACAAGTCAACCTCAATCACATTATAGAAAATATAAATTTATTTTTGTGGTTTATAAGCAAGATCACCAAAAAAAAAAAAAAAGTATTAAACAATAAGTAGTTACAAAACAAATTTCTTATATAATGAAATACTTACGAAGTACTAAAGAATTGGATTCTGGAGATGTTGAATAAAAAGATTCTGGAATAAATAAAAAAGGCAGTTAGAATTTAAAAGTTAATTTACAGATTTTAACTGAAGGTAAAATTAGAAAGATGAAGTAAAGATACTTCAGAAATTAAACAAAACTGTTGAAAATAATTAAATAAAGAGAACTGTAGAAACTCATAAACAATAACGTATTTTAATTTAGATAAATTAGGTAACCGTTAAGAAATTCAGTTGATTTGTCTTAAGTCTGATGAGCAGAGCAATTTCTGTGAAACTGGAAACCGCGAGATAATTCTGAACCTTTTATTTAATTTATTTTCTTTCTCTCTTTATATATTTATCTATCTATATATCTATGTGAAGAAACATAGTTTTAAGGTGTGCTATATTTATGGGATAAAGTGCTCAATTTCAGAGATTGAGCCTTTGTAAATATGAACGTGAACAGTGAAGTCACCACTCAGAGGCAACAGACTATTTCATGCTAGACGTAATCATCGGGTGGCCTGACGATTGCATCTAGCATGAAACAGACTGTCGCCTCTGAGTGGTGACTTCAATGTCCACTTATATATATATATATATATATATATATATATATATATATATATATATATATATATTTTTTTGAGTCTTGTAGCACATTAGCATTGTAGGGGTAGCACATGCGCTGCAGCCATGGAAAAAGTGGTGTGTCTTAGACAAAATGACTTGACAGAGCCCAACCCACTCCAGACTAGTCTCAGTTCAGAGTTTTCCTTCTCCTAGACTGGCTGCCAATCAAGGTTATAGGGTCTAGTCTGTCCTGCTATTTACCCATAGCTAGGTGAAGAAGAGATGGATACATGTCTTTCCTAAGGTTATTTGCATGAAAGTGAATGTAACGAACCTGACTGGAATTGGAACTCGGCTTTCTAATTTCTCATTCCAAGCCAATATATATATATATATATATATATATATATATATATATATATACACATATTATATAAACAGTAAAATTTTAATATCTCATTCCAGCATTGGCTACTTGAGTTGTTTCTCACTGACAGTTTTGATGATGACAGGAACTCTTAAACCCCCACCCATACAAATATTGAAATGAACAAATGAAAAGCTCCCCAGGAGTGATAATTCAGTTCTAATATAGATGAGAATGAGGAAAACTCAATATTCTTGAACCCAGTTCCACAGACTGTCATCTTGACAGAATCAGTGTCTGAACAAGGAAAAATAAAGAGTGCAATTTACTATCTAGACTATCATATACAAATACTTAGTCATATCAGAACAGAGTGAAGTAGAGAGATAAGTATAAGTGCTTGTAAGTTAATTGCAGGTAATCAATACTTACCTTGGACACTAGTTGAATACCAAGCAGGGCTTTGAGCAATAGAACTGTTAACGTCTACAAGAGAAAGCAAAATGGCAATCAATCAAAAAGTTTCTTCTTGTCAGACAATGTTTAAAGTTTCTGTAAGAAGCAATGATTGTCAACAAAATAAAAATTACTTAAAAATAAAATCATAATTTTAATTGGCTTCAGAATTTAAAATGAAAAAAAATCTACATTCTTTTTTTTTTCAAATCTGATTTTAACTATGCCCATTATCAAATAGGAATTATTCTCTTTAAATTAACTTTTAATTTAATGTTAATTAATTACACAAAATATAGAAGAGTAACTAATAAACAAAAAATATTATTGCATGCCTTACCTGATGAGTCGGCAGCTCTGGAAATATCACTGCATGTCGGAGCTGTAAATAAATAAAAAAAAAAGAATGAGATAAATAAAAATAAAAAAAGGAAAGAGATGAATAAAAAAAAAAAAATAATTTTTGAAAATGAAAATAAGTACAAATGTCTAAATCCAGACAACATTTAATTTCAAAATAAAAAAACACTTAAAGCAAAACTTTTTGTTCTATTTCTATTGTTCTACACACACACACACACACACATAATTACAAATTGATGAAATGTAAATAAAAATGTATTTTATTCTGAGTTATTCACAACGAAATATTTGAAAGAAAATAAATTGTAAAGAAATATTTTAAATTTTATCTGCTTAACATATTATAAACAGTTAAAGAAAAGGTTTGTTATTTATTTTTCTTCATTGTATATATTTTTCCTTTAACTGGTTTCATTTGCCCTGCTTGGGTGAAAAAATCCCCCAAGAGAAACACATGATGAACAAAACTCCAATATAGAAATAAATATTCAATACTTTCTCTAAGCTAAAAATTTATATACAAAAAAATTGAAAAACAACTAATATAAACAAGCTTTATTTTATTATTTTCATTCTATATATTCAAGCATGATTTTCTTTACAAGCTTAATTGCTTTAATAAAACTGTTTCTGTGTGTTCATCAGCAAAATTGATAAGATTTGGCGGTTTAATTAAAAGTAAAGTGGAACTCATATTTCAGATTTATGAAAAGTGAACAACAAGATGTATCTATGCAATAACAAGGAAATGTCCTAGGGATTAAGAAAGAGAAAACATCAACTCTGGAACTAAAGTTATAAAGAAGCCGACTTTTCAAGCCATGCATTAACCCAAACGGAAAAGCTGAGACAAAACAAAAACAACACAAAACTGAATTTTCCACCAAAATGCAAAAGATCTGCCCCAACACAGCATTTTCCTACCTGACCCAACATGAAGTAGAAAGGGCAGTAAAGCCTTCCTCTTGGAACCAAATTTACGCAGCTGCTACAGAATTACGTGGGTATGCACACCACCCACGTACTGGCCCATAAAACAACCAGTTGAACATCAAGGAGGGAAGAGCAGCTGAATCCCTATGGAGGAGGCTGACCAAGGGTGGACAAGTGGCTACGAGGTCTCACGGTACTTACACTGGAAGTGATCATCCATCCCAATGGGTTGAGTGGCGGACTTTAAGACGGTAAAAGACAAGTTAGCATCACTGGCAATACCTGTGCAAGATAAAAAAAAAAAAAAACAAATATTGCAAAGAGTCTATCAAGATAAAAATACAAAAGGTGGGCGGGTTAATATTGGAGAATATAGTGAATGCGAATGAAGACAAAAAAAGTTCCAATCAAAAAATCGGAAACTTTTTGTTTACATTGCAGACATAAAAATAAAAAGTGTCATAAATTATACAAAAGTCAAGAGGAAAATGTCTTTCAAAAAGTAATTAGAATCTTGAAATAAAATTAATATAAAAAGAAGATATTGAATCAATTGCTAAGTCTGTAGGTAGGAGAATTGGTCCCTTGTGTGGAGCAAAACAATTTTTCTTGCCAGAATCTAATTTATATATTTATAAAGCTACCATTTGTCATTGCTTTGAATATTGCTGCCACATCTGATCTGGTGCTATATATTTAAGGATTCTTGATAAAATCCCAAGAATCTGTAATGTTACTGGTCCTGACCTGGCATCTTGGCTTCAGTTACTTTCCCACTACCATAATAGTTTCTCTCTACCATTTCTAATCCCAGATTAGCAGCAAGGTCTCATTTTACAGTTGAAATGGCCGTTAGATGTAACTGTAATTTTTATGCTAACAGTTTCTTCTATCACACTTTTCACTTGTGGAACTGTCTGCCAGCTTCTTGCTTCCCAGTTAACTTTGATCTTCAAAAATTTCATCTGTTTTCATAATTCTTGTTTGTTTATCATTCTCTTTCCTTACTAGTGTTTTTTCTCATTCTCTAACACTTAATAACCCCTTACATCCTAGTGGCTTTATTGTCTTACTTGGGGTGAAGTGATTAAAATAACAAAACATATTAGAAATTAGTTTTCATTATATATTCAAAATTTATAACTTAAGAGTAAGACTAGTCACTTTAAAATAGAATAAATACATTTGATAAAAGTAATAATAATATTGTACATTATAATTGACAATCCAATAATAAATTAAGAAGTATTAAGAAGCAATTTACAATAACCCATGAATAATGAACCTAATTATGATAATGATAAAATAATTACTCTGTTTAATCAATTCTCATTAACAATTACATATAAAAACAATTTAATATTAACAATGTTAATAAATAAATTACCTAATATTGTTCAGACAATTAAACTCCTTTCTCTGTAAACTTGTCATTGTTAAAACATTTCAGCTGACCATCTCTATCGTTCTCTGCAAATTTATTTATTTTACAAGAGAGAGAAAAAAAAAGAAAACATCTTCCTTCCATATATGGCAACAGAAAAATGGTCCTTAATATATTAACTATACCAATTTATTTCAACAATGAAGGTCCTCCTTTTCTCTCTCTGTCTCCCCCCCCCAATGGAGTACATCTGTTGAAGGCCAAAGAATGAATTGGCTGAAACATTCTGTTAACAGCACCAGATACACAAAGAAAGGGTTTAACTGTTTAAATATTGGATAAAATGATTCTTAAAGTTATAGACTTAATTAAAATTGATTCATTTGTCAAGTTAATTAACAGTAACACTTCCACTACTGGAAAACATACTTATATCCTTACAAAACTTACATTGCCTATTCTAGATATTATTTTTTTTTTCAAGACATTATGAAATATTGGTCGTTGGTGTTTATAAGCATTCACAATACGACTTGTTTTGCGACATACTTTGATTATATTGGGGGCAAAGTGTAGACAATATTCAATAATCCAAATTGGCAGTGTCCATAGGAAAACAAATCCAGATTAAAAAAACAAAACAAAAAAAAAGGAACCAGACAAGGTTAGCACCTAAATGGATGAAAACCCAGCCTTTTATCCCAAATGTGAACAAAATCGCTCATAAAAATAAGTTGAAAATTCAAGAAAGTTTTAATTCAAATTTTAATGTCAAATTGAGACTTTCTTCACATAAAGTTGGGTCTTATACGATACGGGAACTCCCTATCAATGAAATATATCGAACTGGTTTCTTATAAAACATTTCTTCTTAGAGGTTGGATTGATTTACTATGAATTTCTGTTGTAAACACAGCGGATCCATAAACTTGTGAAGCACCCGACAGAAATAGATATAACTTTATTACCATCCACCATAAATTAATTGTGACGTTTTTTACTGTGACTTTATTACTGGCCACAGTATTTTTATAGCTATATTTATTTCCAGTCAACGGTAATTTCCTATCCCACCACACGCACCCAAAAAATGGACCAGCACAGTTAGGTAACAATGCAGTAGTGAAAGTGTTTAACAAAGGAAAGACTAATAAATAAAATTGATGTATATTGTTAATAATACTCACTTGTTGACTCTCGAGTAATGATATCTTGAATATCTTGCCATCGAGCGGCCAAATCTTCACAAGAAAATGTTTGGGGATGAAATTTAGAGAATACTTTGTGTTCTTCGTAGCTTGGAGGAGGGGCTCGAATATTCTCTTGGGATGGTTCTGGTCCGTCCCCTCCCAGTACACTTATAGGCGATGCTACTGAATTAAAAGTTAGTTCACTAACTTTTGTGGGTACAGTTTGGTCTTCTTCTCTTGATAGTGTATCCATTGGAGAAATTTCGGTGTCGTCACTAACACTAACGCGTAAGCCAAGAACTTTGTCAAAGAATTTCTTCTCTGCAATATCAAATTAAAAAAAATATATGGTTCTTGACAATGAGGTTGAAATTAAAATTATTCATTATTTTTGTTTAAAAAAGAAAAACAATTTGGTTTTGCAAAATCTTGCAACAAAAATAAATTTAAAAACATTTGACTGCACTAAAAAAATTTTTTTAATTAAATTTAAAAACTTCTTTATTTGAGTTGGTAAAAAGTTATTCTTGTTGATATTTTAACATGTTGATTTTTTGCTTAAGGATGAATTGTTCTTTTTGACAAATTTAACCTAAGAAAAGATTTTAATTTGCTAAAATGGTGATCAAGAAATCTTTGTTGCCAAACAAAATTGAAAAATGTCTTCAAACTGACAAAAATACTAACTAAATTTAGATTTTTAAAAAATGTATCTGACTTTAAAGTTTTAAATTTGATAAAAACCTTTTCATCACCAAAAGTCAAAATTTTTTAAGAAATAAAAAATTCGTATTTTAGTTTAAGTCAATATAAAATTCCTTCTTTCAGAAAAAGAATTTTGGACATATTTTAATTTCAAAACGAACTCTTCACAGTCTTTGTCTTTTTTTTTTTTTTTTTGTTTATTTGACAAAGTTTTGTAAACTTTTTTTACATCCTAAGAACTGTAATTTAAAAAGAAAAGTATTTTAAAAATGTTTCTTTAACTTTAAAAAGTTTAAAAATCATTAAAATTAACTTATTTTTTCTTTACAAAATTCAAAACAAAACTTAAATACTAAAGAAAATAAACAAAAAACTTCAAGAGCAGACAAAAAACAAACTTTATTAATCATCACGTTTTGTTTCTTATTCTTCCACAAAGTTTTTTTTAAAAAAACAAATTCAATGTTTCTTTTTAACATTTAAATAATATTTTTAAATTTGCATATGTCATAGTAAAAGTTGGAAGTTAATTATCTCTGAAAGTAAAAATAAATACACACAAGAAATACTTATGTGCGCTAAAAACATTTTATTTTTAGTGTTTTTTTAAAAAAAGAAAAAGAAAAGAAAAGTCAATATTTTTACGAAAACATTTTCGAAGTAGGTCAAGACATTTTTTACAATAAGTTTTAGATTTCACCAAACTGCAACCACTTTTTATTAAGGACGTCGTATATTGTAGCACCAGGCTCGGGTGTCATTTTGCCACCCACGCACCCAAGACAGAAATTAAAATATCATGAAACAATTCTGACATTTAATAAATAAAAAGATGTCAAATGAAAAAAAACGAAACAAATTCAAGTTTCATGATTAAAAATCTCAACACAAAGAAAAACATTTCGTCGTCTTTTTGAGACGTCGATGTTAACTTTTTTGGACGACGAAATCTACATTTTATTATTTAAAATTTAAAATCTATTGAATTTGTTGAAATGAGATTTTAAAGATTTTATTATTTTTTTTAACCAAATCATTTTAAGAATTAACATTTGTTGACATTAACTAACAATAAAACTGTCTTTATATTGTGACTTAAACGGACAAAAGAAAAACCTGTACAAAATTTATTTACACTTTTTGACTTTTACAACATCGTCGAGGTTTTTCGCAAAAAATATTTTGATTTTATTTTTAAAGTTTTAGATTTGGATTAATTAAGATTAGGAGGATTGATTTGAAAAATAACGAAGTGAAACCACAATAATAACTCTTTTTTTATTTTTTACATGAGTAAAAATAAAGCGAATAAAAATTTTGCCTAAATACGAAACTTATTCAAAAAAGTTTGTTTTTAAATTTTTCATTTAATTCTTGTTATCAATAATTATTAATTCCCTTCTAATTAATCATTTAATTAAACTGCTGCGATATTTTTTTTTTAGTTTTAAAAAAAAAGTGGTATATCACGTATGAATTTTCACTTACAGTTATTTATAGAAACTTATGCAAGTTCAGTTAGAGATGTCAATTTGAGTATAAAATTTAAAAAAAAAACATTTAAAAATAAAATCATTTTATTAATTAATAATAATGATACGATTTTTTTCTAAATCAAGTATTATAAAAAAAAAGGGCCATTCTGAAATAGACTGAAAAATTAATCAAAAATTGTTTTTTTCTTTTTGTTTTTTGCCTCGATGTTTTGGAAAGGGTTGGTTTCTCTAACATACTTGCACACATACAAGAGAACTTGGCTCCTGACAAAATTACGATAAAGACGGTGGGGGGGGGGTGTATGGCGGTAGAGAATCCACTTCAGCTTCTTCAGCAACCAGTACTCTACTTAAGAAAAAGCCTATTCTTCTGTCTCCGATCTACAACCTCTTTCTCCCTGGGTACCACACACACACACACACACACACACACAGGGTACACACTTATTTCTTTCTTTCCGATCTACATTTACTTAACTTCTAACTACGACCTGTTGTTGTAAATTATCCTTTCTGGCCCTGGGGGTCTCATGTTATCCTTTCTTGACCTCGAGGTCATATGTTATTTTTAAAGTTATTTGGCTTTTTGCAGAATGTTTTTGTTTTTTTATTTTTATTTTTTTTTACATACTTATTTTCCAAAATTTCCTCGTGGCAAAGGAGAAAAAAGTTAATGCAAAAAAAAAAAATGTATCAAAAAGCCGTCAATAAAAATTCTAATTCGAATTTATAATCAATTTAAAAGAATATAGAAAAAGCTAAAATACAACGGTTCATTAGTTTGTGTTTTTTTAGTTTACAATTTGTGAAATGTGAAGGCATTTCTTCTTCTTTTTTTAAATAAAAAATCGTTTAAGTCTTTCTGATAAATTTGAGGCGGGAGAAACGATACGTGAAGTCAATTCACACAATGTGAATTTGATAGACTCACATTTTTAAATAAAACAAATAAAAAAAGTTATTGTTTGTGAAGAGATAAAAAAAAGTAAGACAAGATTCATCATTATCCTATTTTTAGATTCTGAATAGCTAAAAATCACAAATTAAATAACAATAACATTTATTGTGTGCGTTATTGCACCAAAGTGCATGAAAAAAGTCACGTATTACGGTCCTAATTCATTGTTGGGAGGTGGGACATGCACTTGACATCCCTGGAACTACTTTGACATACAATGAGAAATCAAATATAACCTTTCTTTTTCTTACGCACATGTTAAAAGAAAATCATATTTTGTCTTTTATAAATTCATTTCATCTGAACATTTATTTCAATTATACATTATTTAAAAAAAAAGAAAAGTTTTTCCTAGTAACAAAGTTGCAAACATCTGCGATAAAATTTATAAAATCTTTAAAAAAAAAAAAAGAAAAAAAAAGTCATTTAGATTCAAAATTCGGGTGGCTTTTTTAAAAATTAAATTTTGTATTAAATTCGTTTAATATCAGATTTAAATAAAATTATTTACTTTTTTTTTTTCATTGTTCAAACCAGGAAAACATTAGCTGAATTTTGTCTAGAGCAAATTCTGAATTTTCTTGATTGTTTTTAGAAAAAAAAAACATTTAACATTTTTAGGAAAGTGACTTTTTTTTATCAATATTTGTTTATTTTTATTTTTGTGATACACTCGTCTTGAGATAAATTTCTTATCACCGAGTGAAAAAAAAAACACAACTTTTTATCGACTTTATATTCAGTTTTCTAAGGAGAGAAAAAAAGCCAGTCACAATGAAGAAAAGCAAAACACGTCACAGATTTTAAATGGAATTTTTGTGAATGGGTCGATTTTTTCTCCTTCTATCTCTCTTTTTTACTACAGACTCATTTGACAAGATTTTCATTTCAGTTACTTAAATTTATACTCTAAAAACATTAAAAATTAAAAAAAAATAAACATTGAAAACTTGAAAAGTCAGTAAGATTTGGAATCATTTTCTTATCCCCTTTGTTGTGGATTAAAACTGGAAGTTCAGTTTCTTAGCTTCTTAAGACCAGCAATAATTAGCTTAAAATTTGGTCTAAAAATATCCTTAAAAATGGAGAAAAAAAACACAAAAATAGTGAAAAAAATAAATACAAATAAAAAGTAAATACTTTTCCTCTATCAAAAACAATATTTTAACAACTTTTTTAAATTATAATTTAAAAATATATATGAAATCAAGACTTAAAACCCGTGTTGTTAAAGACAAATTATTTTTTTTTAAATTTTACAAAAATTTTAATTTGTAATTTTTTTTTTATTTACAAGAAGAAAACACTTATTTTGATAGATAGAAATCAAAATAAAAACAATGCATCTCGTGTGTGATGTTTTCCATTGTTTAAAAAGTCTTCTTTTTTTTTTTTTTCGTTTACTTACCTTCTGAGGATGTATCGTAGATGCTACAATAATCCACGTCGTGGGTAAACGCGTTGGGTTCGCTTGGAATTAAATCGTCGAAAATCATTTGGCTTGAATTTAAAAAAATCGTGTAACTGTGAACAGCATAAAAATATAAAAGAAGGCAGAAATGGTGGCGGGCAATGTATATCTAATAAAGCAATTCCTTCGCTTGGGTTTAAACATGTGAAGTTGTCGAAGTGTATTCAACAAATAAACTTCTGTCCGCATATACATATATCTTAAACTGAACGCATAGTGAGTCCCATTCACAGAATAGAGACTTATTTGGAAGAAATGCGTGGGTTGATCAATGACAAACGTGAACGTCACGCGTGGGGCGGAGCGCAATGTTAATTGTGCCTCCAAGTTTGTTTGTTTGTTTGTTAGTCTTCTTTCTTTTTCTTCTTTTTCTTCTTTCTTTTTCTTCTTTCTTTATTTCTTTCTAAATGTCCTTTCTTTTCTTTTTCTAGTTTCTTAATGTCACGTAGCTTCCAGTGTTTAATAATTTTAGGTACAGCTCCAAGATTCACAAACTCAAGACTTTAAATAATAGTTGTCAGTTTCTGGTCGAACGAATCTGGCTGTTCCATTTTCTTTCGTACTAATAACCATTTTCAAGTCTTTAGTGGCTTCTTTTCTTTCTTTTCTTTCTTACTTAACAATCGTCGTTGCCTGTCTGGTAACTTCTCATAAAAAAAAAACAAAAAACGTAGTAGTCGTAGTAGAGTTTGCCGTCTGACAAGTTATGAATGAATGTAACTATGAATGGCCGGCTGTGTGAAGTTGGAAATGTGCAACTCCCCGGAAATGGGGTTCACTGAATCGATTCGAAGTTTACTGTCAAAAAAATGTTTACTTATATTTTATGTATTTTTGGTTAAAGAAAAAAAGAAGTAAAAATAGAATTAAAAAACAACAAAAAAACATTGAATAGATTAATTTATATGAATGTACAATACATGCAATATTATAAAAGATCTATCTCAGTCTTATCTATCTATCTATCTATCTATCTATCTATCTATCTATCTATCTATCTATCTATCTATCTATCTATCAGTAAGGGATCATGTTTTAATCCGAGATTATTGTTTTATAATTTAATTTTAATGGATAGAAGGATCTGATTTTCTTTAAGAATCTCAAATGTACAGGCCAGTAGATATAATTTACACTGTTTAAATAAAGAAAGGTCTAAAACGCGAGTATCACTAAAATAAGATTTGCAGTAATGTATATATATATATATATATATATATATATATATATATATATAAACTTTTAAAGACGCGTTTCGCCACTGGAGAAAATGTGTGTTAGTGTTCTCTTTGGCTTTGGTGAGGAAAAAATGGCTTCTGATCTCTGAGGTTAAATGGGCATCGTAGATCAAATTTATTGCCCCAGCTTATCACCTCATGATTTAGGCTTGAAAATAAAGCTGGGGCAATAAATTTGATCTACGATGTCCACTCACATTTTTGTCTTTCTTTTATTATCAAACTGAAGAAGTCAAGGAGGACACCCACATTTTTAACTCTGGCGAAACGCGTCTTTGATAAAAACAAATTTCCACTTTTTGTCGCATCATTTTTTCCTTTTGTTTCGGATACTTAATTCTGTATACACACACACACACACATATATATATATATATATATATATATATATATATATATATATATATATAGTTTATGCAAACTTAGGTAATCCGTATGAACCCTGTTAAAGGGGTTATGGTGAAATAGCTTATTACATGGAATCTTAAAGTGGTCTGTTTTTTATTCAAACATATATATATATATATATATATATATATATATATATATATATATATAAACAAATAAACAATTTGCACAAAGAATTAAATAGCAATGTTAATGGGATTAATGGCGAAATCACTTCGCTAACAAGACTTAATGAGACATTAACTTACTATCAATTCTTTGAATAATAAGATTCTTATATTCGAATTGTCAGATGGAAGACAAATGCCAGGCATTCTCGACAATTTCAAATTGTCATATTCAGGCTACAACTTTCTTATAAATAGGCAAAAATTAAGACGAACCATGTGTAGGTCGAAAGATGTTTTTTAATAATGCTATTTATTGAGAGTTGAATATATGAAGATGACAATTTGAAATTGTCAAAAGTACTTAGCATGTGTTTTCCATCTGACACCGCTAATATAAGAATTTTATTATTCAAGGAATTGATACTAAATTAATGTCTCATTAAGTTCTGTTAGCGAAGTGATTTCGCCGTTAATCGCATTAACATTGCTATTTAACTCTTTGTATGAATTTCTTCTTTATTATATAAAATATAAGCTGCACACTTATAATTTATATATATATATATATATATATATATATATATATATATATATATATATATATATATATATATATATAATGTATATGTAATTAAGGAGAAAGTTGGAAGACTTTTTGTAAATTTGACATGTTTCATTATTCCTTTTAGCTTTATTAGTAAATAAATTAAAATACCGAAACGTGCCAGATTTATAATAGTTTGTTACTTTCTCCTTATTTGATAAGTTTATCTGATTTATTAAACCATGTTTTCATTTCACACACACACACACACATATATATATATTAATTAATATATTAATTAATGTCTACCAACATAGAAATCGAAGATCTTAATAAGGCCAGTAGACATTAAATTCACAGTTAAAAAACAAACAAAAAATAAACAGGTATGTCACCTACGTAAAATAAGGTTTATAGTCATAAAAATCCTGTTGGATTAAAAGGCTACATGAAATGCACACACACACACACACACACACACACATATATATATGTGTGTGTGTGTGTGTGTGTTTTCTAGTATGTATATAAATATAGAAGTGGACATTGAGGTCAACACCGAGTAGTGCCAGTCTGTTTCATGCTTTCAATCTTCAATATATATATATATATATATATATATATATATATATATATATATATATATATATATATATATTTGTGTATTTAAACAGCAATCCATCTTTTATACAAGTTTCGTTAAATTTTTCTTGTGTCTGTACAAGTGTTTTCTTTTCTGAAAAAAAATTATTTTCTGGAAAGAATATATATATATATATATATATATATATATATATATATATATATATATATATATATATAATGTGTGTGTTTACTCCTAATAGGTTAAAATAAAGGAAAACAATAAATAAATGTGCTTTCTTTTGTAACAAAGCTGAAATAATACTTCATATAATAACTGGTGCTTTATTGGGGGGGGGGAGCTCAACGGTTAGTTTCATAAACGTAGAGACGTACAATCGTCAGCCGAGGCCGACACGGACTATTGCGTTTAAATATACACACACTCGCAAATATATATATATATATATATATATATATATATATATTATTTAATGCACGAATATTCTTTTGTAAATGCCGTTGTTGTTTGTGAATATATTGGCCAAACTTCATGTTGTGTTGTCCCAAGCTTTCGACTCGCATGAGTCATCATCGTGGGCGGGTATTTATTCACACAACAATCACATTGGCGAAGGGATATTTTACATCAGAGGTTAAAAAAGATCATGAAATTTAATAGACACAAAACGTCTGTTCTTTTCAACAATATATATTTTAAAAAAACAATTGTTGTTCAAATATACCCAATTCGAAAAAAAAAAAAAAAAATGAACGTTTTTACCTTTTTTCAAAAATTGTTTTCACACATTTCAAATCGTTACTTGAAACGAAACTATTAAAATGAACCAAGAAACAGGAAATTTGAGTTAAATTCATGTCAAAGGTTAGAGTATCTCCTCACGTTTTGGGATAATTACGAACCACTCCTATTATGGAATCTCCGATTTCTTAGCCCCCGGGTAAGGTCTTCGTATTTATTTTCTGATTCTGAACTGTTACGTCCACTATTCGACAATTTTCCCTGACTTTTTTTATTCATTTATTTTTTCTTTTAACAATTCTGGTCTTTTTGCCTCACTGTTTCCCAAACCATTCCTGTCAACCCCCCACACACACCTCGGTTACATCTCAGTTCACACCCATATAAAAATTGTTCTTGATATTAGATATACTGCATATTCAAAATAACAACTAATTTAACATTCTAAACACATATATGCATTTTGGATTTTCTTAGATGCCCTTAGATAAGATGCCGCCGGACGAAAATCCGTAGCTATATTGTTACACGCACAAGCCTAGAACATAGGCCCCTTCAGACATCGGATGTCTGATCTGTTTGGTGTGTAAACGCGTCCTGTCCAGATAACATCACCAAGACACAACCAAATGTTCAGACTTAACTTCGTACAACAAAATAAATCTATTTGTTTGTGTGTAACTTTTTTGTTAATTTTATTCTTTGTAAAGCATGTGTTCCTTAAGTGTAAGGAACTTAGATTTTGTTATATAAATTTTGAAAAAAAACAAAACATATTTGGTTCTAAACTTACTGTGCAAACCTCTACTGTCCCTTCTTTTTATTACCCATTCGGATCTTGCTACCGTTTCTAGAGGGTGGTTCCTCTAACTTTAGGGACCCCAGATTTACCTGATTCAGAAAATTCCAACATATTCGTTCTCTTCTTAATGTGTAATCCAATTCCTTCTGTTGAAACCTGTTCTCCCCAAGCGCATGACTAACATCATGTACTTTTTTTTTAATTTTTATTCCGGGTTCTATTCTTTCGTTTTCGCTGATTTTGTTGTTAGTAAATACAAGATGGTTGACTTCTTTATTGATTTCGTGAACTTTCATCTATCTTTGTAGTTCCCTAATATTATATTAACTGGTCTCATAGCCATATTATTGTTACTGTCCTGGGTATGACGATAAACTGCATCCAGCAGCAAGGCCTCTGATCAGGAGGTTTTGAGGAGCGTGGAACCGCCTCTTAGTTGCTGTTGTTCCCGGGTCCACCCTGACCCGGGATGGTAGCACCCGTTAGGGTCCCAGCTATGGGTAAATAGTTTTCCCCCTCCCTTGATCTGGAATCGGAATACTCTATTACCAATAATACGTTTTTGAAAAAATAATATT